TTTTTTTTTTGGAACCTATGACTTCTTCAGGATTCCTTGATTAATAAAAAGTTAATAAGAACAGTATTTATTCAAAATAGAAATCTTCTGTTACAATATACACTACCGTTCAAAAGATTGGGGTCAGTAAGGTTTTTCTTTCTTTTTTTGAAAGAAATTAAAACTGTTCTTCAGCAAGAATGTGTTAAATTGATAAAAAGTGATAGTAAAGACTTACATCATTGGAAAAGATTTATATTTAAAATAAATGCTGTTCTTTTTAACTTTTTATTAATCAATGAATCCTGAAAAAGGTATTATAGGTTCCAAAAAATATTAAGCAGCTCCACAACAGTTTCCAACAATGATAAAAATCGGCATATTAGAAAGTTTCCGGAAGGATTTTGTACACTAAAGACTGAAGAAATGGCTGGAGTAATAGCTGATGAAAATTGAGCTTTGAATCACAGAAATAAATTATATTTTGAAGTATATTAAAATAGAAAACAGTCATTTTAAATTGTAAAAATACTGCACAATATTGTTGTTGTTTTTTTCTGTGTTTTTGATCAAATAAATGCAGCCTTGGTGAGCATAAGAGACTTCTTTAAAAAACATTAAAAATCTTACCGATCCCAAACTTTAATATTTATCAGTTATTTGGCACAACATGATACAGCAATTGTTTAAAAGTAGTAAAACTATTGATTTCAGCTCAGTCATAGATATTCTATTTCTCTTGTACTTACTACCTTCATTATTCCTAGGAACAAGTGGAGTATGTGTTTCTGGTCATTTTCACCATCGAAACATTCACAAAGATTCTGGCGTACGGTCTGGTCATGCATCCCAGCGCCTACATCCGCAGCGGCTGGAACTTGCTGGATTTTGTCATTGTCATTGTTGGGTATGTGTGAGGTTACTTCAAATATACTTCCAAATTCAAGTCACATTAAATTTATTTGTATAGTGCTTTTCACAGTACTCATCGTTTCAAAGCAGATTTACAGAAAATCATGACCTTTATGTTTATGATCTCTTCATGTCCTAGAGTTGCATTTAGCAGATTAGGGCGGGACAATAATATAGCAGTTGAAATATGCTATATATTATATATTGCTTTATGTGAATTTACTGTATATATTTGGGTAAAGTTGGACATACTTGTAAATGCAACTTTATATAAAGACTTTAATTTAATTAATTTATTTATTTTCAAATTTTTATTTATTTAATTGGTTTATTCAAGACAGAGTTGAAGGCTACATGATGTACTTAACTGACAGTAGAGCTCACCAGGTTTGTGTGCTCCATTTGCAGTCTTTTCAGCGTTTTAGCTGAGATGGGAGAGCACAAACCAGGAGAGGCCCATCACGCTGCAGGTAAACCAGGAGGTCTGGATGTCAAAGCCCTGAGAGCTTTCAGAGTACTGCGACCCCTGCGGCTCGTGTCCGGTGTGCCGAGTAAGTGTTTGTGCATTCTGACTGGACATTTGTACACACAGTGCTGGCTGAGTCTAATTCCCACATCTACAGTGATTGTGATTCAGGCTGTGATGTGTGCAGGTCTGCAGATTGTGTTGAACTCCATCATGAAGGCCATGGTGCCTCTGCTCCACATCGGTCTGCTGGTCATGTTTGTCATCATCATTTACGCCATCATTGGGCTGGAGCTCTTCATAGGCAGGATGCACAAGACCTGCTACTATGTAGGGACAGGTGAGAAATGCAAACACAGGCTTTTACACAGCTGACTGCAATGCCACTCTAGTTGCATTTAAAAGGGCACAGTTGTTCTCCCAAAAAATAAAATTCTGTCATGGTTCACTGACCCTCATTGTAGTTCCAAACCCAACATACATCAACATACGATATGATCATCATACGTACATACACATATAAGCTTAAATTAAATCTGTTCATCATATAAAGTGATCATATCTTTCTTCACACATTTAAATGCATTTTATGACACATTATAACTTTTTTGGATCTTTAAAATTTGGTTACCTGTACTTTCAATACAGGTGCAGAAACCTCTCAGGTTTCATTCAAAATATCTCAACATTTGTTTTGAAAATTAACCAAAGTCTTGCGGGTTGGAGCGACATCAGGGTGAATACATAATGACAGAATTAAATTTTTTTGGGTGGACTATCCCTTAAATGGGAGTTTGTTCACTGGTAGTTGTAGTATAAAGCTTACTAAATTGTGTTTGTTTTCATGTAAAAAGATCTAATGGTGGACGATGATCCAACACCATGTGCTTTTGCTGGTAACGGTCGTTTCTGTGTGGGGAACAACACCGTGTGTCAGGGAGGATGGGAGGGACCCAATGGAGGCATCACCAACTTTGACAACATCTTCTTTGCAATGCTGACTGTATTTCAGTGCATTACAATGGAGGGCTGGACTGATGTGCTCTACTGGGTATGGCCTGATCTCCATATTTCACTCTTTGTTTTTTAAGCTAGTTGCTAATGTTATACAAACAGGATCATTTATTGGAATTAAAATAGATGATTATTTGAGCTTCTTTCTGATTTATGCCATATTAAATCAGCTCAAAAATGTGCTAATTATACACATATATTATAAATATATATTTATATATTTGAAAAATTTGCTAATTATGAATATATATTATAAATATATATCTATATACTGTTTCTATCTATCTATCTATCTATCTATCTCTCATATATATGGTTTTTTAATAGCCTAGTGTAATATGGTAAATGGTTTTTATTGTTGACTGATGGTGAAAATGAAAAGCTCTTAAGGGTAAGGACGACTTGTGATATCATTTGTTGGGCATTATTGTACATATTGTAATGCGTGTGTCTCTTTCACATCACAGTGAGTTCTCTAAAGAGAGAGAGAAGGCCGTGTGCCGCGGTGAGCTGCAGGAGGCCCAGGAGAAACAGCAGATGGAGGAGGACATGATCGGATACATGGACTGGCTCATTGAAGCAGAGGACATGGATGAGGATGGAAATAAACGTAATATAAGCTTTATTTAGCATTCCTTTTTACAGTATGATCACACAATCAAAACAGACAGTGTGCGCATAAATTATAAATAAATACTTTTGCCCAATGAAGATGACAGAATGTCACATGATTGATGATAAAATGTCCACCCGTGTGAAAAAGCAGTACATTTTTGCATATGGTATAAAGAAATAATATACTTTAAAAGAATATACTTAATGTTTTAGACACTTAATTGCATGTTAATTGCAATTACATGAAAATGTTTTATAGTTTAAAAGTATATTAAATGTAAGGACTGGGCCCTTTATATGTAATTTCATAATTACTTCTATTGAAACTGTTAAATGTACTGACAAGCATTTAATGGTAAACTAAAATATACTTGTATGTCATTTCTATTGAACCTTTTTTAAATGTGTATTTAAAAAGTAAAAAAAATTAGAAACATAATCATGAAAGTGGACTCTCTTTAAGTATGCTTACAGTTTTATAACATTTATATTATCTGCAAGTACAGTCACTTAAAGGGGTCATATGATGCTATTTTAAAGATCATTATTTATATACTTTTAAGATTTGAAGTGCAATATCAAAAACACATTCAGTGCAGTTGAGTGCTTTTCATTTTGTGTTTTTTGTTTGTTTGTTTTTGTGGTGTAAATGGCAGGTGCTGTGGTGGCTAAGAAAAAGATGATGAAAAAATATGGCTGGTACAAACACAGTGAAGATGGAGGTACTGAACACAGTTTCACTCTGATATTTAAATGTATTGCATATCAAACTACAAAACTACGTTATACATTCAGTCCTTTCTTTTTTATGCAGAATCGGATTCAGACTCTGAGTTTGAAGCGTTCCTGGATGATGACAACGGCTGCTGTGCATCTATTATGTAAGTACAACATTTACACTGCTAAATTATCTGTTATAAAGTATTAAACACCAGAACTTTTAATCTAAATTATTTTATGTTCCTCAGGGCACGACTGATGGGTATAAGTTTCTGGTAGGTGTTTATTTGTTGACCAGAACCCCCAAATTTTTTCTCTTAATTTCTGACATATTTTACTTTTTTTTAAAGTTTTATATTTAAAGTCCATTAATACTTGCTGCTTCTTTTCTTTCTCAGTGAGCAGCTGTACCACTTAAATCTGGTCATCAGGAAGAACTGCCGTGTGGCCGTCAAATCCACCAATTTCTACTGGCTGGTGCTGCTGCTGGTGTTCCTCAACACGGCCGCCAGCGCCTCTGAACACTACAGCCAACCGCAGTGGCTCACCGACATACAGGGTGTGTGTGTGTGTGTATGTGTGCGTGTGAGCGAAGTAAAGTGTTGCCAGAGTTTGCCTGTAATGACATGACCTGACCCTGTCTTAAATACGGACTCTTTAATGTTCCAGAACGAGCAAATAAGATCCTTCTGGCTCTGTTTACGCTGGAGATGCTGATGAAGATCTACAGCTTCGGCTTTCAGATCTACTTCATGGCGCTCTTCAATCGTTTCGATTGTTTCGTGGTTTGTGGTGGGATTCTGGAGACGGTGCTGGTGGAGATGGACGTGATCCCGCCCATCGGGATCTCTGTGCTGCGCTGCGTCCGTCTGCTCCGTATCTTCAAAGTCACAAGGTGATTGAGCTCATAAGTGTTTCCAGATCTTTGAGATTCATTGTGCAGAGTTGTGGACTCGTGTCGCATGACTTGGACTTGACTCGGACTTAAGTTCCAAATTTGAGGACTTGACTCGACATAATCAAAGAAGACTTGCGACTCGACTTGAGACTTGACTTGGACTTGAGCCCTGTGACTTGGAAAGTCTTTATGGCCTACCTTCTAAAAAAAACTTTGTGAGTTGTGATCAATATAGGCTGGTTACTGAAGCGTATGATCACACTGGTATGATTAGCGCAGCTTTTTGCACTGAGCCAGAGAGGGACTCACTCAGTGAGCACTTGTTAGTGTTTTCAACCACATAATGTTTAGGCTATTCAATGTTTTAGACTTTTAAAATACACATAATCCCTATAAACCAGTTATATTAATATTAATAATAATAATAAGAAGCAATGCCGATGTATATGGAAACGGCAGTAATAGTAGGCTAAACCTTTCAAACAATTTTTTTTTCCATGTCAAACGCACATTGTATGTAGCCTACCTATAAAGTTCACTCTATACTTCCTATTTGCCAGTCACTCACTTTCATGTCTTTCAGAAGAAATGGATGAATTCACGTGTTGTAAATCCAACTGGCTCTTACTACATGGTAGCGCACATATAGCCCCTAAACTAAGCCATCAGCTGTGACCATTATAAACTTGTTTAAAACACAAAATACATTTACTTAAATATATTTGAGAATCTGTGGCTACTGTTCTGGCATGAATAATTTTGCATGACTCTTTTCTTAAACCTACTATAGTGAACAGTGTGCTGTCGGACATGTTCTGTTTACTTGTGGCCAAGAGATATAATTTGTAAACTCGACAATATTAACTCTACCAACCCCTAGGATTATTAAAATATTAACATTTTATTTTGAATGAAGAATAACATAAAGACAGTGCAGCATCATTATTATAACTAGGCCTATTGTGCTCATCTCAGTGACAGCATGACATTTGAATAATTTGTTATTATCAATATTTGTTGAAGGAATAGCCTATATAAGAACATAAAATAGGCTAATATAGAGCTATAAGAAAACACATCATCCAATCCATCTTTTAAACCCATTCACTGATGGTTTCTTATTTTTATTTAACATTTATATATATTATTATATTATTATTATATATTTACTTCTCCGTTTCATTTCATGTAGGCCTATCTCGTTGCCCAATAATTAACGTTCTGTATCGACGTATTGTAACACCCCTGTGGACTGTTTGTTGTGGTTTCTTCCCCTTTTGTTGGTTTAGACCGTTCAATCATTAGTTAATTACCCTTATTGTGTTCACCTGTCTGCCCCTCGTTATCTGCCCTATAAGTTCCTGTCTCTTGTATCCTAGTGTTGTCGGTTATTGTGGATGTTACCCTGAGTGTGTTTATGTCTCACCTGTCTGGATCTGCCTTTTGTCTACATTAAATATCTTTATCGGAACCCTTGTCGTCCTCGTCTTCCTGCCTGCCTCCACACACCTGGGTCGTGAGACGTATCTGTTTAAGACTTAAAGTACCATAAATGTTTTGTAAATACTATAAATGCTAATCAATCATGTCAATAAAGCTATGTGTATTTCTGTAGACCTACATCAGTAGGTGGCCATACATCAGTGTCTGTTTTACGTATTAGCAAGTTATTAAATATTTGACTCAGTGGATTCATAAAAATCACTGAATTGTTTACAAATGAAACAGTGTACTTAAAAGAAATGGTCTATTCACTTAGGCCTACGATTTGTTCACAAACAATGATTCAGTCCTCAACGAAACACCACTAATTATTATATCTTTATAATTATACTTACTATAGACTATTAACGACTTTAAATTAACTGTAGTAATTAATACAGAGACACTATTTTGGGCAAACATCACTAATGACTTGTTTAGGACTTGAAGCTTAAAGTTGAAGACTTGCAACTCGACTTGGGACTTGTCTGTCTTGACTCGGGACTCGACTCAAATGAATGCAAAGTCTCGAGACTTACTTGTGACTTGCAAAATAATGACTTGGCCCCACTTCTGTCATTGTGAGATTTGCTACGCCTACATCCTTCGTCATCCGCTGGAACGCCACTCTCTCGTGAACTTGCATACGAGTTAGCGGAAGCTAGAGATTATGGTTTATAAAGTTTTAAATATGGATATTTTTTCGATTCACTTCAGAAGGCCTTTACTAACCCCCTGGAGCCGTGTGGAGCACTTTTTATGATGGATGGATGCACTTTTTTGGGCTTCAAAATCTCGACCCCCATTCACTGCCATTATAAAGCTTGGAAGAGCGAAGACATTTTTTAATATAACTCTGATTGTATTTGTCTGAAAGATGAAAGTCATATAATTAACCTGTAATGGATTTTAGATTTTATTAAAAATGGGAACTTATTCTTAAATTAAGACTCAATAGTTTTAAGGAGTCACTGCACATGCTGAATTTGTTGGTGTCTCTCTTTAGACACTGGGCTGCCCTGTCAGACCTGGTGAGCTCTTTGCTGAACTCTATGAAGGCCATTTGCTCCCTGCTGCTGCTGCTCTTCCTCTTTCTCATCATCTTCGCTGTCCTGGGCATGCAGCTCTTCGGCGGAAAGTTCAACTTTGATGAGACTCAAATGAAAAGAAGCACCTTTGACACTTTTCCATCTGCCCTGCTCACCTGTTTCCAGGTAACTGCCTCTGTTACTAAGCAGTCATTTTTTACAGTGATTTTCTAATATTTAACTCCTCATCTAAGCTCCTACAAGCTGTGGAAAATAAAGGTATCTCTTGTGAAAATGAAGTACACTTTAGCATACTTTTAAAAAGAGTATATTTTACAGAATTAATATGCTTAAGCATATTATATATATGTACATTCTTGTCATGTCTATTGAAACTTGTACTATATGTCGTGTATTTAAATATATTTGTATTTACATGATGAAGTAGCAATTTAGTACATACAGTACATTTACAATATATTACATTTAAATGTAATATCAAATAACACGCTACGGCTAAATTTATAATGTGCTTCAGTATGTTTGCATCAAAGTAGGTGCGCTTCTTTAAAGCATGAAAAATGATTATTAAAACAATGATTTAAAAGGTTCTTTAATGTAAATCCTTTATTTTGACATTATTACAAAGTGCACTTTTTAAGTGCGTTAAGAAACATTCACGAAAGTGTTTCTCTTTAAGTACACTTAAGTGGCCTTTTATTTCATGAATATTATATTATCTGCAATCTACAGATTATGTAGGAAGTGGCTTTTTTTGTCATCCTACTCCTAAAACAAGGATTATTTTATTAGTAATAACTTTAAAGATGATTCTTTACAGTGCATCTTTATTACACTATACAAATTATTAAGAGATAGAGAAAAGATTCAGAATACAGTAGTTTACTGAATTGAGAGATGTGAACTGAAGCTCTTTCTTATGTAGATCCTAACAGGAGAGGACTGGAACTCTGTCATGTATGATGGCATCATGGCGTATGGTGGACCAGTGTTTCCCAATATGATTGTCTCTATTTACTTTGTCATTCTTTTCGTCTGTGGTAACTGTATCTTTTCAGTATGTATAAAATACATTTGATGATCTATAAGCTCCATATTTTCATATTGATTAACCTTTCCATATGGCTGTTCTTGTATCTGGAGTCTTGTTTCTGGCCCTTGACTTTGTCATCCAGACATCTTGCTGAACGTCTTCTTGGCTATCGCTGTGGACAACTTAGCCAGAGATGGTGGCAAAAAGAAAAAAGAGTAGGCAACACACATACACACACAGGACAGAAGCCAAATGTGCACATCCTTGCTATTGTCCTGCATTCACAGGCACAGAGCTCAATCTGTTCGTTCTGTTTTAAAGAGAGAGAAAAGAAGAGGAGGAGGAATGGGAGGATGATGAAGAAAGAGAGGAAGACGAAGCTGGAGTAAGAACCCTGCTCTGTCTTTCTCTCTGCTAAAGGCATTTGTGACACATTTAAAGGAATAGTTCACACAAAAATGAACATTTACTCAGCCTCAGGCCATCCAAGATGTAGATGAGTTTGTTTCATCATGAGAACAGATTTGGAGAAATGCAGCATTACATCACTTGCTCACCAATGGATCCTCTGCAGTGAATGGGTGCCGTCAGAATGAGAGTCCAAACAGCTGATAAAAACATCACAATAATCCACAAGTAATCACGCAGATTTTGTCATCTTTTTTCCATACTACTGGAGTAGTGTGGATTATTGTGATGTTTGGACTCTCATTCTGACGGCACCCATTCACTGCAGAGGATCCATTGGTGAGCAAGTGATGCAATGCTGCATTTCTCCAAATCTGTTCTCATGGTGAAACAAACTCATCTACATCTTGGATGTCGTGAGAGAGAATACATTTTCAGCAAATTTTCACTTTTGGGAGAACTATACCTTTAACCTTTAAATGTGATGTATTTCAGAATATAACAGAATATTTAGCAGGAAATAATGTGGAGCAGGGTTTGATTTTTCAGTATTTGATTGGGTTGTGAAGATATTATTGGTTAATAATTAATATGAATGTATTTTTAGTAGAAAAGGTAATGGTTCTCATATTTTGATGAATTAAAAAATATGGTTTTATATAATGTGCACTGATTGATCATGGATTATATGATCAAAGACCTTTATTGAACCATTTCCATTTGACTGATGATTTCTATATGATCTGTTGATTATAATTTATTTCAGTTATCCACATGTTGAATTTCTATGATCGTTCTTGCCATATTATTCTTTATATGTTTCTTGTTCTTTAATTTGTTTAGAATGATATGGACGATTGGGAAGAGAACGAAGAGTTGAGAGCAATTGAAGGGCTTGAGGGTAAATTCTGTCCAGTCCAATTCTTTATATTCGCATTCATTATAAATATATGAGAATTAATTTAATGACATTTTTTTTTTAAATCTTCATGTTCTTTAAAGGTATAGGCACTCCCATGAAAGTCGAAAGTTTTCAACCCAAAGAAAAAATTGTACCTATTCCTGATGGAAGTTGCTTTTTCATCCTTGGAAAGAAAAACTGGTAGGTTAAAAAAAATGGTACAAATGATAGTTACTAATAATGATCATTTTTCTTTTCTCCGACCTGAAATTGACCATGCTAATATTCACAGTCTCAGAGTCGCCTGCCACAACCTCATTCATCATCAATACTTCACCAACTTCATCCTCATCTTCATCATATTCAGTAGTTTTTCATTGGCTGCTGAAGACCCAATCAAAACTCATTCTGTCAGGAATGTTGTAAGTTCATGCACCTCTAGAATAGAGGACTAGAGCGCTTGAGGGCCAGCCTGTGTGCAGATCTTTCAGTGTCCCTATTGTAGTGTCCCTAAAATATGTGAACAAAATTATTAGTATATCATTTTACAATTATGAAAAACTGTAGTCAGGCACACTAACTGGCCCTGTAAAATTAGCATTTGATGGTCTTAAAACAGTGATAGATCCTGCTGGTTGTGTTCCTGTTGGATGGCTTTTCTCAACAGGACTGTGGTTCCCAAACCCCCAAGCTCCATCCCTTGTGCATTACAGAGATTAAACTAGTCTTAAAGCACAATCTCCAGTTTGAAAAAAAGGCTAAAACCAGATATGTGGGTGAATCCCTTGAAGACCTTAATATTTCACCCCAAAGTCAATTATATTTTACATAAAGAAAATTAAGATTTCTTTTACATTGTGAAATTATTTTCATGTAAGAACCAATTTAATATTCACATTTATTACTTTAATACACAATCATTTAATTTTTAATATAATAACTGTAAATAATTTATTTAATTTTATAATTGAAATATTTTTTCTTAAAATCAGCTAATATTATCACTAAGTATGTTTACAGCTTTTGAATTACAATTTAAATAATGTGTATTTTTCATCTTAATGTTTTTTTCTATGCAAACTATTTTATTTGGGGTGAAATATGACATGGACTCATGAGATTGACCGGGTGACATGAGATTGATCGCTGTTTTTATGTCTTATGATAGATGCTGGGCTATGCTGATTACGTCTTTACCACCGTCTTCACTATTGAGATCATGTTGAAGGTAAACTATTGATCCTCCTGCACACACAAAATTTTGTTTTCGCTCTTTATGCTTCAAACTGATTTTTATCTTTTCTACATGTCTAATAATGGGCAGGGGTATTATTGTTAACTAAAACTAAAAACTAAAATAATTAAATAACATTTTTGTACATTAAAATAAAGGTGAAATAAAATAAAATATAAATATTAGATGGAAATCTTACACTAAACTAAAAGTAGAAATGTTGCATTGGCAACTAACTAACATAAGTTTAGGTTGAAGCACAAAAAAAAAAAGACTAAAAATTAAAATAAAAACCAACAAAAAACTAAAAGCTTATTCAAAATAAAATATTACTAACTTTAGTAGCACAAAAATAATACTAAATGAAGGTAAAAAAATTACCTTAAAAATAAGGTTTTGAGCTGTGACAAGGGATTGGTGATGTGCAAAATCATCAGAGGTTTGTGAACATGGAGTTTAAGCTTTTGCTTCATTTTGAATGTGCACATTAATGAAAATGTGTGTCGTGTGTTGCTCAGATGACTGTGTATGGAGCTTTCCTTCATCAAGGTTCCTTCTGCAGAAACGCCTTCAACCTCCTGGACCTTCTGGTCGTCAGCGTGTCCCTCACCTCTTTCTTTTTGCAGTAAGTGTTCATCTATCACTCAGTTCAGTTATTCATTGATTCATTCACTTATTTGTTGTCATTTCTGTATTTAGTTCTAGTGCCATTTCTGTGGTGAAGATTCTTCGAGTATTGCGAGTGCTCAGGCCTCTTCGAGCCATCAACAGAGCAAAGGGACTCAAGGTACAAACTCACGATGCATTTTTCCATGCTAACATCCTGATATATCATCAGTCCTGATATATTGAAATGAAATTGATATTGTGATTAATGTGATTATCAAATGTGAACCAATTAACTTAGTAATGTAGAAACACTGTATCATGAGCCACTCGCATGTAAAGGAAGGAACACGGTGCTGTGAATCTCTCTGAAACCAGCAGCACATTTATTTTATTATTTTATTTACTTGCCAAAAAAAACACCGTAATAAAGATCAGACATTAGAAAATACATATTAATATTGTAATTTTACAGTTCTGCTATATTTATTTAAATACTTTTTTTTACAAAAATATATATAAATATAATTCAATAATAATCACAATAAAAAATTGCACACATGTAAATGAACACACTGCCATACATGTCTCTAAACATGCCGCAGTGCATTTATTTATTTTCCAGAAAATTAAAAAAATAAATAAAAGCTTGATGATTTGAAAATGAAGATGTTAAGATGTAAATATTCTAGTTTTACAGCTGTATTTAACACTAAGTTAGGGACCAATTCTCACTATTAACTAGTTGCTTATTAGCATGCACATTACTAACACACTGGCTGTTTATTAGTACTTAAGAACTACCTTTCTAATAAGCAGCAAATTAGAAGGAATTTGATACCGTATTGACCCGAATATAAGACGATGTTTTTTTCTTGTATATCTGAAAAAACGTGGTCGTCTTATATTCAGGGTCTAGACTTTGACATGTCAATAATACACCCACAACAATAGGTGACGCCAAATCCGCATAAAACGAGTGTGCCATGAAATACATAATGTAATGCGTGTTGTAAAGATCGCGAGTAAAAACAAAAGAAGCAGAAAACCTTACAGCTGCATGAGTCGTGACTGTCACGTTAGCCTAATGGGACCAAACTCTCTTTGTGATTTTAAAACGTAAGACAGTACCCAGATTTGAAGACTACAGTAAGATTTAACTTCTACTGTTAATAAGATTTTGGTAGGCTACTATTAGATGGATAGCCTAAATGTCCTAATTCAGATGGGCTACCTGCTTTTTTTTTTATGGTATATCAAAAAGTGTATATTTTTTAAATGTGATTGTTGATACATTTTTCCAGTTTTTACCATACTTTCAAAACAAAAATTAAAATAGGAAAAATATGCAATATGAAAATAATTGAAGACAAAATGTGTTTTACTGAGAAAAAACAAGATTTGGTTTTTAAAAAGCCTTTTTCCAAAAGGTACATCTGGAAAAAGGGGGGGTCGTCTTATAATCAGGGTCGTCTTATATTCGGGACAATACGGTAATTTTTTAAAATGTTAAAATACTCTTATCCCATTTATTGTGAAATCTGCCAGTGGATTTTCCCTTAAAAGTTCAAGTTATTTGTCTCTGTTGCATGTACATTTTACCAGTTTTTATCATACTTTCAAAACAAAAATTAAAATAGGAAAAATATGCAATATGAAAATAATTGAAGACAAAATGTGTTTTACTGAGAAAAAACATGATTTGGCTTTTAAAAAGCCTTTTTCCAAAAGGTACATCTGGAAAAAGGGGGGTCGTCTTATAATCAGGGTCGTCTTATATTCGGGCCAATACGGTAGTTATTTAATAGGACAAATTGGTCCCCAAACTAAAGTGTGATCCAGCTGTACTATATTTTTTAAACCATTTTTTATTTTACAGTTTAATAACAACATTACTCTATATTTCTTATTTTGTTTAATATTTTAATTTAAACTGGAACTGGAACTGGATTTTTTAAAAACCTTTATGTTTACTACAATTTGACCAGTTTTCCCAAATAGTTCAGGATGGTTCACATTTAAAACAAAGTCTCTAGAGTAAAAAGTCATTTTCAGGTTTTTAAAATTATTTTATAATTAAATGATTTTATTAATAAATAATGTAAAATGATTTTATATAAACTCATATAAATTCTAAATTACTTTTACTCCCCTTGCACTGTATTTTATGTATAACCATTTTTATTTTTAACTGATTTAATTCCTTTTAAATAAATTTTTAAATAATTTTTACATTTTTACATTCCTTGTTTTATTGTTGTGATTATGTTTTTTTTATGATAATTATTTTAATTCCTTTTATATGTGAAGCACTTTGAATTACCATTGTGTATGAAATGTGCTATATAAATACATTTTGCCTTGCCTTGCCTAGGACGCCTACAAAATCACCTCGTTCAATTTAGAATGATTCTTTCTATGATTCTTATATTTTTCATATCACAGTGTATGTATAGCAGAAAACAAAATATTGCAATGTCATTTTTCCCCATTTTTCTGCAGCCCTAAATACCACAATGTTCATTATTTCCAGTTATGTTCATTCATAACCTTCAATGAGTGTTGCTGTTTGTGTCTTCAGAGCGTGATTCAGTGTGTGTTCGTGGCCATCCGCACTATTGGCAACATCCTCATCGTCACCACTCTCCTCCAGTTCATGTTTGCTTGTATCGGTGTGCAGCTTTTCAAGGTACATAAAGTCAACCTGAAATCAAAATTGACACAGTTTACTTTCTTAATGCATCAAGTCCTTCTGAGAGGACTTTCCTTTTAGGTTGACATCGCCTAGTTTGCGCAACTACTAGTTAATGTTGTTAACCAGTAGCCATATAGCTATTTTTCAATAGTTAGATGAGTATTTTCTTGCTGGTTAACATAAATGTAATCCCTTTTGCAGGGCCAGTTCTACAGATGCACGGATGAGGCGAAACATACGCCTGAAGAGTGCAAGTATGTTGTTTGGTCATAAATGAGTCGTTTGATTTGCACTCACAGTGACTCACTGGGTTGTTTTCTAAAACTTGTGTGTGTGATTGTTTAGGGGTATGTTTGTGGTGTTCAAAGATGGTGATATGAACCATCCAATGGTGAGGGAGAGAGTTTGGGAGAACAGCGACTTTAACTTTGACAACGTGCTGATGGGGATGCTGGCGCTCTTCACCGTCTCCACGTTTGAGGGCTGGCCACAGTGAGCGAGAAAAACCACTCAACACAACAACACTGATACGGGATGCTCCGAACTTTAACTGTCTTTCTTGCTTTTCACAGGCTCTTGTACAAAGCCATTGATGCTAACGCAGAGAACAGAGGACCCATCTATAACTACCGTGTTGAGATTTCCATCTTCTTCATCATCTACATCATCATCATCGCCTTCTTCATGATGAACATCTTCGTGGGTTTTGTCATCATCACCTTCCGTGAACAAGGAGAGGCTGAGTTTAAAAACTGTGAACTAAATAAGAATCAGGTTAATCTGAATTCAAGGCCATCTCATATTAAAAATGTTACATTTCTTTTGGTCATCTAGTCTAGTCGATTGATTCTTTTGTTGCTCTTGTTGTCTGTCTCACGGTGTCTCTCTCCTTTGCTCACAGCGGCAGTGTGTGTATTACGCATTGAAAGCTCAGCCCATAAAGATTTACATCCCCAAAAACCCCTCTCAACTCAAATTCTGGAAGATCATCAATTCCTCTCAGTTTGAGTACATCATGTTTGTGCTCATTCTGCTCAACACGCTCACACTGGCTGTACAGGTACACACACACACACACACCCACACACGTGCACTTAGCTATTTAAATGGGGACATTCCATAGACTTTTATTGTTTTTATATACAGCTAGTTATACTGTAAATACTGTCCTGCATGAAAAGCCCTTGTATTTTAAATCTTAAAAGTATATTTAAAAAAACTGCACTTGCAGTAAATATTATATATAAAAAATAAAAGGCCACATAAGTGCACTTAAAGGCAGAGTAAGCGATTTCTGGTAGCCAATGTTGATATTTGAAATCACCAAAACAAACACGCCCCTACCCCAAAAGGGTCTTGCCCCTATTTTGATAGCTCCGCCCCACATATACGTACGCAACCCAGGCAACGATTAGTTCTGTGAAACAAAGCAAAACCAATGTTACACCGTGTCTACGGACGTGAGCGGCGCGGCGCAACAAATCCTGACAGAAAACTGCTGCCGGGTTCTATTTATGACGTGCTGACACACATTTCAAATGGTTTTCAACGGTCGTTTGACCTCTTTCTCGCGTCCAGTGTAGGCAGACTTTAGTTGTTGTAGACACGGTGTTACTCACCTATTGAGAAGAAACAAAGCAACCTCGGCGTCCGATCGCAGGCCTCCGCTCCTTGAGTTCTCTCCAGCGCTGGAAAGCTGATCCAATATTTACACGGGTCCTACTTCTTTGCCTTATCGTTCCGCAGACGTTTTCCTCTTTTGTTTTTTATCCGCCATCTCTATCTTACTGTCGCTCGGCTCGGCTAATGTCCGTCCCATGCACTGAAAGCTCTCTCCTCCACATCACGAGTAGACACGCCCCTTATTGCTGATTGGCTACAAGTTTGTTTTGCTATTCGGCCCGAATCAGTTTTCTAAAGTGTTTTTGAAAAATCACATACCCTGCCTTTAAGTAGAATGCACTTAATGTCAAATTTAAAGTTTTATTTTAAAGTGCATTTTAAATCTTTCTGTTTTAATAAACTTTTGTCATGCTTTAATGAAGTACACTTATTTGGATGGGTTGACTAAAATACTAAAGCATATGTAAATATGATTATCATTTTAACTGGACTGTGAAATATATTTTATTGTAATATTTTATTATTACAAATATTTTTAATGACATACAAGGTTCAATAGAAATGACATTACAGTATATTTGATCTTACTATAAATGCTTGTCAGTACATTCGGCAGTAAACTTTAAAGATATTTTAAAAACTATATCAGTAATTATGAAATTATAAATAAAGATGTACTTAAGTCCTACCTAAGTGGTTAAAAAGACTCAAATAATTGCCTTTAAACTATAAGTTTAAACTATAATACATTTTCATTTAGTTGTAAATAACATGAGATTAAGCATCCGAAAACATTACATTCAGTTATCACTTTTTTAAATATATATTTTAAAAGTGTAGTATTTCTGTAATAACCAGTAATAACCTAACCCTATCAGAAAATGTTCTGCATTTTACTACTTAAAAAAAACAACTTTATTTTTATGCTATTTTACAAATGAGTATGTCCTAAAAAGTATGTTTTGTCAAATCACTTCTACAGTAGCTAACTTCTGGGTTCACACCCCTAACAGTAACCCTAATAGATCACAGAGGGTCTCATTCACGACACATGTGTATGTTTGCAATTTAGGGTGCAATTTTGAACTCTTGAACAACTTTGAACGACTTCTGGTGACCTTAGAAACACTGAAATGTTTCAAGCCGAAATGTTATATGTATGTATTATTAGAAAGGGAAAAACTAAGTGAACCCACCATATATCTTATTTCATTAAGTTATCACTCCACTGGGAGAAGTTCTGCATACACATGCAATCAATCAGGATCAACTAATAAGATCACATGACTGTGACCCACAGCACTATGAGCAGTCCAAACTCTTCAACTTTGTGATGGACATCCTGAACATGATCTTCACTACGCTCTTTACGGTTGAGATGATCATCAAACTTCTGGCTCTGAGACCTTACGTGAGACTTGATGCACACTTTCTTTCCCCATTCAATTTACTTTTTACTTTGCTCCAGTGGTTTGATATGCAGTCTTGATACATCCATTTGTGTTAGTGCCTTTACGTTTGTGCTTTTTCCTCTCTCTCTCTTGTTTTCGTTATTTGTGTTTGGGACTACGCAGCACTATTTTATAGATGCCTGGAACTCTTTTGATGCGCTGATAGTGGTGGGCAGTTTGGTGGACATCATGATTGCAGAGTTCAGTGTATGTAACTATTATTATAAAACTATATCTGATCTATGAGAGATGCTTATGCATGTCCAAATCTAGTCAGTGTGAACTTTTGATGTGACAATGATCAGACTCATCTCAGACACACACTTATCAATTTCTATAATCTCTTCTGTTTCCTGCACTTCTGTGTGAATTTGGACGGTCCTGTCACTCAGGGTGGAGGAGGCCATGGTGAGGTATGAATATGCCACCTTACACATCAGCTAAATAAGTATTAATTTCTTGGAATGTTTAAAGCTATTGTTCATTAACATTACACACAATACATACTAAATTGTAGTCAAAAGTCACAGCAAAACCTTATTTATGATCAGGAAGACTGCTGCTGATTTGCTTCCATAATTTGTATATAACACACACTGTTGTAAAAAATCAAAAGTTGAGAAAACGTAAAAGTTTAAGGCAACCAGTTTCAGGAGATTTTTGAGTTTTCTCAACTTTTTGTCGTATAAACTGAATACAAGTTGAGAAAACTCAAAAATGTCCTGCAGCTGCACCCCCAAATCAGAAAATCAGTGAAAATTGTAACTTTCCCTTTAGTAATTAAGACACTACGTTCTGGTGTTGTTTATGCACGGTTATCTTGTAAATACAGTCATTCCAGCATGACATGAATTTTACGGTGCTGTTATGGTGACATCTTATAGAAACATTTGCAGAAAGAAACTCTGGTCCTGGTTTATGTGGCAATAAATAAAAGTTTCTAGAACAGATGTTTTTTCCAGACATTTTAATATTAATGTTAGTTCTTTATTTAAATGTTACATATATATGAGTATAACTTTTTGAGCTTATCTGGTCTTTTCTTAAAGGGACCATATTTATGAAATTTAAATTAGTTTAATTTAAACATTTGATTGTCTTTTGAATTTAATTTTTCTTGACCATTTAATTTATATTTAATATTTCATTTCATTTGATCATTTTATTGTCTTTCGAATTAATTTTTTCTTGACAATTTTCTTGATGGTCTTTTCCTAAAGGGGCCATATTTAATTTAATTTAAATTAGTTTAACCATTTGATTCTTTCGATTTAATCTTTCTGGATCATTTTCCACACTTTTTGGTCCTTACATTTAAACAGTAAAACTTTTTTTCCTACTGAGCTTTAAAATGACCTATTATGATTAGAATACCTCAGGTTGCAGGCTTGCTGTAAGGTCTGATGTAGTTTGCACTGCCATCTCTTAGCAAATCTTGCATTATATTGTGACTGCTTTACATAACAATTCACACTGAAATGTCAGACTGACATGATCAGGGACTTTGTTACCTGGACTCTTTAATCACATTAATATCTGGTCTGATGTTTTCTTTCTCCACTTCGAAAGGGGAAAGAAGGGGAGAGCGCCAAAGTGTCCATCACTTTCTTCCGTCTCTTCCGAGTTATGCGACTGGTCAAGCTGCTCAGTAAGGGTGAAGGCATTCGAATCCTCCTTTGGACGTTTGTTAAATCTCTACAGGTGAGAAATTTAGGAAACAAACAAGCTAAACTATCTTTCTCAATTATTTTTTATA